GTCTGCTGCGTCAGCCCCTTGGCATTCGCCCCCAGCAGGATGTCCGGTTCCCCTCCCCGCCATGTTGGTGGCGATGGTGATCTGCGTTTTGAGGGGGGCGGCGTGGAGTGAGACGCTGGGGTTCATCGGGGCACAGGGCAGAGACACACACGCCGGCAGCTCGCGCCGCCGCCTCCCTTTCCACCAAAAATCTCCCACCCGCCCTCCCTCCCCATGCCAGCTCACCGTGCCGGGCAGTCCGGCCTGGGCGATGATCTGGGCCTCCCTTCGGACGCTCTCAGGGCGGGCGTTCAAGAGGTTCAGGGTGGGACCCTTGACCCCCAGCCCGCCAAACTCCGACTCCAGCAGGCGGGAGAGGCGGCCGTACAGCGCCTCCGACTGCTCCACGGTGGCCGTGCCCACCAGCACGGGCCGCCCGGCATCCAGGGCCTCCACCAGCAGCTGCTCCAGGCGAGCCAGGTAGCCCTGGGGTGCGGGGGCAGAGGTGAACGGTTGGGGGCCGGCCTGATCATCTCCACTGGAGCATCGGAAGGGAGGAGAACGCAGCGCAGGGCACGACAGAGACCCAGGAGTACCAGCTCCCTGCCTCCGCACCGGCCCCGTCACACCTCCGTGCCCATGTAGACCTCGGGGGGGTGATCCTCCCTCTGCCGTGGCCGATGGGGCGGCAGGGCCACCACCTTCAGGTCATAGGCGTCCAGGAAGTCGGCTTGCAGCGGGAGGGCCGTGCCCTGCGTTGGAAGAGGGCGATAGTTACTGGGTTCCTTACGGTCGGTGTGTTGTTGTGTCTTGTTGGAGGGGGGGAGGGGGGGGGGAGGGGGGGCGCGCATAGGAGGCCATGCTTGTGCGAGCGGCGACGGCCAACTTGGCCGATCAGTAAGCCCCTTTCTCCACACCCATCCAGGGGCCCCCACCGTCATGCCGGCCAGGCGCCGGTACATCTTGAACAGAGAGGTGAAGGTGATGGAGGCCTGGTTGTAGTCGCGCGCCGAGATGGCCGCCCTTTCTTTGGCCTCCACCGCCTGATGCAGCCCGTCAGACCACCGCGTCTTCTCCCGCTCCCGCCCGGTGCTCTGGTCGATCAGGATTACCTGTCGTGTGCGTGTGTGGAGGGGACAGAAAGGGCGCGATGGATGTGATGATCGGAGGGGGGAACAGTGGCCTCCACACGCTTGCTGCCCCATCGAACCTGTCCACATCGCCAGCTTCTGGGCAGCTCCCCCCACCCCCCCCCTCACCTGATCATCCCGCACGGTGTAGTCGACATCACGGTGGTAGAGGTGCAGGGCCTTGAGGCAGGTCTGGATGTACTTGCCGAACGCCTGGCAGGGGAGCGCGTTTGTGGGGGTGTGAGAGTCTGAACAGGCGTCGAGCGGGGTGCTGCATGACTGAAGAGCTTGTCAGAGCGGCTCCCCCCCCGGCACACCAGCCCCCTGAGGGTCCCTGGTGGGCAAGTGCCATGATCATTGCCGCCACCTTTCATCTCAACGCCCCCCCTTCTCCCCAAGCCCACCTCCTCGCTACCCCACATGAGCACCGGGGCGGTGCGCGCCGCGACCCCTTCGTCCCCGGCGTCCACGTCCACCAGCCCCGCGCGCCGCAGCGCGTCGGGCACGCTGGCCACCGAGCGCAGGGTCAGGGGCGGGGCCGGCTGGAAGCTGACTGGAAGCTGGCCCGGCCGGTGCTCCGGCACGGGCGTCACCAGGGCCGTCCAGCGCGGGCCGGGCGCGGTGCCGGACGCGGGGGCCGGGCCCTCCTCCTCCGGGCTCGTGAGCTGGACGACATGCAGGGCGCCGCCCGCGTCCCTGCCCACGCCCGCGACGCCAGCCTCCACTGCGGTGGTTTGGGGGGCAGTGTCAGGGCTGGACCGATGCTCCCCACGACCTCGAAGGGCGGTCTCGCACCCGGCGGCGCGGCCGGCGCAGCCCGGACTCCAAGACCCCCACCCCGGCCCCCCTCCCTCCGTCTCACCGAGCAGGGACACTGCAGTGCGCAGCCCCCGCCCCGTCAGCGTGGCCTGGCGGCTGTGCGGCAGGATGACGGCGTCGGCGGCGCCGTCCGCCCACTCCTGCAGCCTGGCGTCCTCCGCCTCGGCGGAGGAGAGCGTGGCGGGGCGCAGGCGGCGCGCCACGGCGGCCGCCGCCACCCAGTGCCCCGCGTCCACCACGTCGGCCTGGGCCGACATGACCAGGGGGGTGGCGCACTCGTCCACCAGCACCGCATCCACCTCATCCACCAGCGCAAAGGCGGGCGGGCGCGTCAGCACCTGCCATGTTTGAGGGAGGGGGAGCTTGAGTGGGGGGGGGCCGGACGGACCGTGACCACCGTCTGCACGTGGCACCCTCTGCCAGGGTGCCACAGACGCAGCATGCCCAGGTTCCTGGGCACCCAGGCGTCCCTCCCGACCAGGCCCCTGCCTGGTCGTGCTTGAGCAGCGCGGAGCAACAGCCACCCTCTCCCCTCCGTCTTCGCGATTCCCCCTGTTTCCCATACAAACAGCGTCCCACCAGCGAGGCCGGGTCGCCGGTCATGTTGTCCCGCAGGTAGGTGAACCCCAGCTGCTGGGCGGTGACGTAGGTGATGTCGGCGGCAAAGGCCGCCTGGGCCGTGGGCGTGTCGTCGGTGGCGACCACCACGCCCACGCTGGAGCCGAGGGCCGTGAAGACCTTGCCCACCCTGGAGGGGCGGGTGGCGGCGGGGGCACGGGCTGATTTGCATGGGGCGGCGGGCGGGGTGGGGTCCTGCACCGGCGCCGCCGTAGGGACAGGACCCTGGCACCGGTCCCAAACCCTGATCCCTCCTTTCCTCACCACTCCGCATCGCGCTTGGCCAGGTAGTCGTTCACCGTCACGATGTGCGCGCCCAGGCCTGCGAGAGGAGGGGGCGAGGCACTGGGAATGTGGGCAAGAGTGGGGCCCGACCTGTCACGCCACCGCGGCCCCTGGCTGCGGAATGTAGGCACCTACCAGTGAGTGCCTTGCCACCCACCTCTACCCAAACCATACCTTCCAGGGAGGCGAGGTACGCTGGCAGGGTCGCCACGAGGGTCTTGCCCTCGCCCGTGCCCATCTCAGCCACACAGCCCTCGAACAGGACGATGCCTCCCAGCTGCACCAAGGGTGGGGTGAGAGTCATGAGGACAAAACCCCTCCAGCAGGGCTTGTTCAAGTGGCCAGGCTGTCAAGCCTGAGCTGCAGAGGCCTTGCAGCCAACAGGTGCCGTGCCATGTTGGCCATGAGAACCTGCTATGGCACAGCAAGGAGCAGGAATGTCCATTCTGACAGTCCCAGCAGCTCCCCCCCTTCCCCGCACCCCCCCTCCCCCTTTCCACCAGGAACATGCTCACCATCTGCACATCATAGTGCCTCATGCCCAGGACACGGCGCGCCGCCTCCCTCACGGCAGCATAGGCTTCGGGCAGTAGCGCCTTCAAGGTCTCCCCGCCGGCAAGGCGGACGCGCAGCCTGGACGTTGTCCCCGCCAGCTCCTCGTCCGTGAGCTCACGCAGCGCCGGCTCGAGGGCTGCGATGGCCTCTAGGGTGGGTGTGTGGCGCCCCACGACGCGGCGCTCCCCGCGGGACAGGCCCTGGAGGCTCACCCTGGGGCTCTCTGGCGCCGACTGCGTGAGGGGAGGCGACGGCTCGCGATGGGTAGTCATGAGCTCGGCATGGACATGAACACTGGCAGGGAGGCCCACCTGGGTCCAGCCCCTCCTCCATCCCCCCGCACTCACGCTGACGATCGAGGTTTGGGTCGCCATGCAGTGTGGTGCCCGGAGGGGCCTTTGGGGAGTTCGCGGGATGGAGGGTGGCGACGGACCATGTATGCACACGCCTATGTGCACTCTGCGCCCCATTTGTGCTTTGAGCGGCTGCGCACATGCTTGCCGCAGGCGCATGGGCGTTCCAACGCCCGCACGGTGTAGCTCCATCCCCCGCCTCTAGGCGACAGGAGGGATGAGTCTCAGATCATTGACCCAGAGCTTCGTAATGTAGTAGCATGCAATGATGCATTGCCCCGCAAGCCAGGTGCACAGATTCAGAGATTGGTCAGGGCCAATGAGTCTCGGCGATACGTCCTCGCGCCCAGGCAGATCACCTCCCGACACGCTTCGCTCTGTTGCACAATAATCCATGCCGGATCCAGGCGATCTCTGGGGTTTCATGACATCATATTGCTCCCACCATACCGCAGCACCTCCATGCCGGGATGAATAGAGGCTGACGCCCACCTGCGAGGTGCTGCGGAGTGGCCTGGAGTCCCCGGCCCATTGATGCGCGCCATCTCCCAGACCCTCTGTCGCCTACAACGGGGTTCGAGAGGTGCTCCGGCCCAAGGCTGCATACACCGTGCGAGAGCTGGCACTGCCAGCCTTAGCATGACCCAGGACCCCATCAAGCTCGTCTTGGTGGGTGATGTTCATGGTGACTGGGACGAGGACAGGTGCGCACAAGGAGCTCATGCATGGCGGGACCGATTGTCACTGGCTGTTGCTGTTCATCTGTGCATGCATGCAGCAGATGAAGCCCATCGGTACCTACATGTATGACCAATCCCCCCTCCCCCCACCGTCAGTGCGACGGCCGCGCGCCACCTGGAACCGGATGCCGTCCTCTTCCTCGGCGACTTTGGGAACGAGGATGTGGCGCTGGTGAGGTCCCTGGCGGCGCTGGACCTTCCAAAGGCCTTCATCCTCGGCAATCACGATGCCATGTGCGGGGGAGGAGGGGAAAGGAGGGGAGAAGGGGAGCTGAGTTTTGGAGTGATGTGTCAGCTGGCTTCGCGGGGAGGATCCCCGCGTGATACAGCCAACGCTGCCTGGTATGAGTTGCAACGCTATGAGCTTGCTGCAGCATGCAGGTCAGCGCGCCCCAAAGCAAGTCCCCAAGCCCTCGAGCGCAGGTTCTCGCTCAGCGGGAGGGGCAAAGAGTACTACGTCAAGAGGATTTTGCAGAAGAGCACGCTGGGGCCGTTCTGCAGTGACCCCGGGTCCGGCGCCTCGCCTAACGTGGCCCTCCAGCTGGAGGCTCTGGGGTCCATGCACTTGGGGTACGCATCCGCCACCATGGCCGATGGCAGGTTGAGCGTCGTGGGTGAGTGCAGCGGCAGGGGAGGGTCTGTCTGGGGTCAACACCTCAGCAGACCTTTGGGTGGCATTCGAATCTGGCTGTGGCGCAGGTGCTCATGCTGGGTCGCCACTCACCCGCACCTTTGCACGCACAGTGCTGCCCTGACCTTCACTACTGTGAGTGTTCCCTGCCTTCCACTTGCCCCATAGGTGCCCGCCCCTTCAGTCAGGGCGGCGCCATGGATGACCATGTGACGGACTTCTACCAGCGCCACTACGACGTGGACTCCATGTCCATGTCTGCCCAGCGAATCGTTGAGACCGCTGAACGGCAGCATGAAGCTGCACCGCACCTGCCCCTGGTCCGTGGAGTTTTTGCCGACGGTGTTGGCGTCAGGATCCCACAAGATGGTACAGCCGCCCGGTGTCACAACAAGGATTGACATCTCACGGACCCACTCCTCCAAAACCCCACCCACCTTCGCGCAGGTGCTCATCGCGCACAACGGCCCCTCCGGCCTGGGTGGGCGGCCGGAGGACCCCTGCGGCGTCGACTGGAGGCCGGGTGGGGGCGACCACGGCGACGCCGACCTGGAGGTGGGGATTCCGGTGCTGCGCCGGCACCCCAAGACTGTGCTTCCCTGTCCCACTCCAATCGCCCCCCCCAAACCCCACCCATCACCCCGCCAGGCGGCGCTGCGGGAGCTCTGCGCCCGGGGCCGACCCCCCACGCTGGTGGCCTACGGCCACATGCACGAGGAGCTGCACCACTCGGTGCGCAGGGAGCGGCCCGGGGTCAAACGCGAGCGCGTGGCGGTCGCGCACGGCGCGGTGTTCCTGAACGCCGCGGTGGTGCCGCGCATCGTGCGCCTGCCGGGGGCGGGGGCGCGGACGCACCACTTTGTCGAGGTGCGGCTGGCGCCGCCCGGCGGCGTGCTCTCCGCCGCAGACGTGCTGGTGGAGGTGGCGCGGGGGGGAGGCGTGCTGGGCGTGCAGCGCCAGCCCCTGCTGACCACCACCGCAGTTGATGCGGAGGGCGGTGCCCGGCGCACCCGCATCCTGCACACCAGCACCGGGGAGTGGGAGGACCTGGGCTGAGCGAGCTGGGGATGCTGGAGCCCTTCCGGAGACTGGGAAGGATGCTTGCGCTTGTTTGCTGCTGCAAAGTGAGCCTGCTGTGGTGCGGTCTCTGCGCCACAGGCAGCGTCCGGTGAGAACAGCCATTCGAAAATTACATCGCCAGGCTTGTGGCCGGTAGGGTGCCAGCTGTGTGCCGCAACTCCCCCTTCCTAATCATGTTTGTATTGCGAGTCAGTGTGCTCAAGGGCATGAGTAATCTGGACAAGGGTGTGGCAGGAACAAGGATTACCACAGGACGCTGGCGAGTCATTGACCCTTCAGCTGCCTGCCCGACGATTGGAGGTAAAAAAAATACTGGAAGCATGGCCCATCATGGGCCTGCCCTAGCGGAAGTAGGCCATGTGCCGGCTGGGCATCATGGGTGCCGGCTGCTTGGCGGCCGTGGTCAGGGCGTCCTGCTTGCAGCCGCCCGCCGCCATGGCCGCCCTCCGCTCTTTCTTCTCCTTCAGCAGCCACTGCTCGACCGTGGCGAGCAGCCTCTGCCCGCCCTCCAGCTCGTGGATGCCGGCCCAGAGGCCCCCCTTGACCACCTTGCCGCCCTCCATGTAGGCCAGGTGGGTGGGCCAACCCTCCAGCCCATCAAAAATGTGGGTGGCATACACGATGCTGGCACCCCTCTCCTCGCACTCCTGCGGGGGGGGACGGGGGCCTGCCTTATGGCTGACAGGGTCTGAGAACTTGCAAACTGGGCCCCGGTGTGAGGGTTCTTGACCGGGGGAGTCCTCGCCCTTTTGGTGACGCTCGAGGCTGAGGATGGGATCTGGGGTCCTTGACAGGTGCAAACAACCCATCGATAGCTGTGGGCCTCAGCTTGAATAGGTTGGACCTGCCGCAGCTCCCATCCACAGTCTGCGAGCCTTCCCAGTCTACACAGACCCCATCACAAGGAACATGGCAGTGACCCCAGCCCCGCTGCCCACCGACCTGCTTGAAGAAGTGCAGGAGGTCCAGCCGGCCGAGGACGTCCATGTCCACGGTGATCTCATCCAGCAGCAGCACCTTTGATGGTTGGCATGTTGGGGTGTGAGGAGGACTAAGAAACAACAAAGAGATGAGGCAGGGCACAGCTGGGGAAAAGGAGTGACGCTGGTCAGCTTGGAAAAATACAGATGGCACACTCCACCATGTGTCTCCCAGCATAGATGCACGCCAACCCACCCACCCCTCATTTACACCCAGCTCAGCACCTTGTAGGGCAGCAGCAGGCCCATGGCGATCTGCACCCGGCGGCGCTGCCCGTCAGAGGCGCTCAGCATGGTCCACTCAAGGTCGATGTCAAGCAGGCGGAGCAGGCGGTCCCGCCGCGCGGGGTCCGCCCCCTGCACCCCGTAGATCAGTGTGCGGGCGCTTAAGTTTCCCTTCAGGGGCTGGCCGCCGCCGGGCGTCCCCGCCCCGCTGCGCCACTGCGTGCCCAGGTAGCCGAGGTCCCCCGTGGTCACCAGAGAGAGGTCGTGGAAGGCGGGGCGGCCCAGAATCTGGACCGCAGATGGCGGGACCATGTGCTTGCCCGCCAGCACCTGCAGCAGGGTGGTCTTACCTAGGGGAGGGATGTTGTAGGAGAAGGGTGAGAGCATAGAAATACAGGAGCACGCGGTAACTTGTCCAAAGCAATCCCAGGTCGCCACCAGTCCCTCGCGTCCGAGCCATGAAGGCGCGTTCCCTGAGAGATTTGAGGCCCTTGGCGCACTCACCGGCCCCATTGGCGCCGCACAGGAGGCAGCGGCTGCCGGGCGGCAGGTCGAGATTTATGTTCTCTAATAATACTGGACCGAAGCCGGCTTTGTAAGTCAAGTCAGTCACGAGAACCGAGGGCAGGTCGGTTGGGGGGTGGTGGGAGCTCGTCATCACCGCGGAGTACACCTCAGTGGCCCCTGGCTTCTCTTCCAGCTCCTTAGAAAAACTCTTCAAGCCCTGATTATCCCGAAGTCATGACTCGCTTTAACTGCGCGCCAGCACTTTTCGGGAATGTATGGCCAGGAGAAGTGATCTAAGGCTTGCCATGCCGGGCATGCTGCGGTAGGAGCGCACCCCTGGGCGACCAGTGTGAGTGTCACGGACGAGACGATGTGCGCATGCAGAAAAGGGCAGGATACCCTAGGGTGACTACATCAAATACCTCGTTCATTGATTTCCTAGTCTTCGGCTTCGGATCTGCATACTGGGAGCGTTGCTCAGGCCGGGAGCAGCATGGCTGGCTTGCGTCGTATGTTGGCTCAGCAATCAGCTCCCCTCCGTCTGGCTCTTGAGCAGACGTACAACCAGCGTGATGCTGCCCGGATAGCCTGTACATGCGGCTTAAGCGCCTACATGCAGTGCTTGGAGGCTCAGAAGGGCATGCACACCTCAGCGTACACCGGGCTGTTCGCGTCGTTGCGCACATCCACGGCAGTCACACAAGCGCGAGCCACTGGCCGAGACATGACAAGTACGTTTGTTCACGGCTTTGGAAAAGTTGCAGCATTGTGCCGGTCCGAGGTGCCTCTCCCTCCCATTCTCCTGACAGGGTTCGTCCTGCTCAGATTCAGCTCTTGGCTCCCCTCCTTTCCCATAGGTTCGAGGCGGTCGCTTTTCATCCAGGTAGAGAAGACGCCCAACCCCACCAGCATGATGTTCTTGCCTGGCAAGCCCGTGTTGGAGGTGAGGTCCTGGGAAGAGTCATACTGCTCGCTGGCAGGGAGCATCTGGCTGGGCATCGCTCATGCCCTTGGTGACGCACAGGTACTGGCGATTCCGTGATACCATCGGGCACCGTGCCCCGTCTGACTCCTTCACAGAGTGGCACGCAAGGCTTCCTGACGGCGCGCGAGAGCATGGCCTCCCCGCTCGCAAAAGCCCTCTTCCAGATCGATGGGGTGCAGCAGGTGTGGGGGGTTGCTCCACTGGCTGCATGTGACGGGGCCCAGACATGGAGGGTCTGGTGGTCGACGTACCCGTCGCCAGGCTTGCATACCAAAGTTGGGCGCTGTCAGGACCTGCCTGCTGCCGACACCCCACCCTCCCCACCACCCCTCCAGGTTTTCTTCGGCACCAACTTTGTCACGGTGACCAAGACCGACACCTACCCCTGGGCGGTGCTGAAGCCCGACATCTTTGCTGCCATCACCGACTTCTACTCCTCTGGCAAGCCAGTGCTGCTCGAGGGCGGCGCTGTGGAGAACCTGGACAACGTCATCAACGACGACGATGACGAGGTGCTGGTCGGGATGCATGCACAGAGGGTGGGAGGAGACCCCTGACACTCACAGCGCCCACTGCCCACTCCATCGCTGGACACCCACCCCACCCCTCCCCTTCACCCCTCAAAAAAGGTGGTGGCCATGATCAAGGAGCTCCTGGAGACCCGCATCCGCCCGGCGGTGCAGGAGGATGGGGGGGATGTCTCCTACAAGGGTTTCGACCCCGACTCTGGCATCGTGACCCTGAAGATGCTGGGCGCGTGCAGCGGCTGCCCCTCCTCCGCCATCACGCTGAAGAACGGGATTGAGAACATGATGTCGCACTACGTCCCGGAGGTGAAGGGGGTGGTGGAGGCGCCGGCAGACGAGTCGGAGCAAGCTGGGCTTGCCGCATTCAACGAGCTGGAGAAGCACTTGTCCAACTGATGAGCATGGTGCAATAGGGCCTGTACAGGTTGGGAACCTTGCAAGACGCACATCGTGTAATATGCAATAATATCGTGCTTTCAATGGCGACGACTGCCATTGATAGGGGGTGCAGGTGGTGGGGGCCTTCCGCCTCCTCGGGAACGAAAGGGCTTCCCGGCGGACGACGCCTAGGGCACTGGAACCTCGGCGGCCCGACACCGCCGTACCTGCAAGCCTATAAAACACGTGGCATATACTGTTTTGTTCTGGTGAAGCCCATCTAAAACCTCTCACCCCCACCCCATGATGGATTTGCTCTTCCGGAACATATGGGAGGGGTCGGACCACCGGGATTTCCTCCCGTCAGCCCATACTGCAACCTTAACCCAGTCCCTCGTCTCAACGCACCCCTCTAACATTCTAATTGGAAACATTGCAATAGACAAGACTGAATATGTACAGTATGGTATTCTAATCCTATCATTTCGTCTCTCAGTGCAGCAATGGGGCTTGTTTGGGGGTTTCGTGCCCATGCGGTGATTATCGCACTCCTCATGTCGTCGGCCGTACGAAGTGACGCCAGGTATTGTGCCCGGGGCACTGTTGCTACGTTTAAGATCGATGTAGGTTGCATATCATCCCATTTTGCCGTCAGTCCTGACAATGCATGGAGCCGTCGCCCTTGGGCCGACTCGGTGTCAAAGTGGCCATGCGGGAGGCTGCTCTTAGACCTTCTCGACTACGCGCCATGTAGGCACCTCAGCGGCGAGGTCAGCCTCTCCGGGGACTCCGATGGACAAGTTTCTGGGAAGGCCTCCGCGCAGACAGACTCTGGATACAGCGCAGATGGGTCCGTGGAGGCGGTGGCGTCGGGCCAGGGTGCTAACGCTGACGCCGGCATGTTTGCATCCACTTCAAGGTCCAGTGGCCTTGTGGCGGGAGGAGGACATGCCAAGGTAAGGGCTGGTGAGATGTGGAGGACCTCAGCCTACTCATCCTCCTGCTGACTTCTGCTATAGGCCCTAATTCTGATTCAAAAGCTGCCCTGGAGGTTTGATGGTTCACCAGCATCGCTCCTTCTGCCCCCAAACACAGTACAAGGGCAGCGGAAGCGAGATGGTGTGGGGGAGCTTCACCGGTGAAATCAACGGCAAAGGCCAGACGGCTGAATACTCGGGACAGGCAGAGGCTGCGAGCGCTGGATGGGGGTTTGTGCGCGCATCCTCCGGTGGGGCAGTCACCGCACAGCAAGGGCAAGTGACGGTGAGTCTGCGAGCGCGGAGGCAGTGATCTGGGAAGCATTGTCGGCAGAACCCATTTGTGTGTCTCTGGATCCTCTGCCTGGCGGGATGTAATCTCATGCTCGACCGCATACAGTACGCCGCTCCCATACACAACTGTAGGCAGGAGGACACTGCGAATCCCAGAATTTAGCACGGAACGAAACTGCATCCCCTTTCCAAAAGGATGCGACGACCGCAAGTGCTGGATGCTTCACTGTGGTTGGGGCGGAGGTGCCTCCCAAGCCCTAGTCCAATAGAATCTCTTTTCCAGCACTGTGTGTCCATCCCAGCACTCCATCCGGACTTGCCTGCCAGTTGTATAGCACCCTTTGTGGTAGCCTTTATAGGCGATAATTGACAGCAATTGGCGGTTCTCTTGACACATGTTGGATTGTACAGGTACTATCATCACTCTCTATGGTTTTCATCTGATTATGTTGTTCCAGGACTTGATTGACATGCAGGATGAACTGTCAGTGCAGGCACAGCACCTCTCGCAGCGGTTGTAATTGAAGCTTGGGTAGGCCGAGGTGGTGTACGAGGCTCTCTGCCCTGGATGTCCTCTCAGAACCGGAATGCGGCTTAAGCAGGTCAGTCAATAAGCAGCCTATTGGAATGGCGAGGGCAAGGTGTTACAGCAGAGCACTGGAGGCATGGATATACTCCCAGCCAGGGCAGAAGCCCACGGCCCCCAGGGGCGCCGTGCATGAGACGCAACGTCCCGTTGCAGCGGTCGTCCATGGTCGACCGCATTCTGGGGCGCCGTGCACGAAACTGCGGGAGCGTCGTGCACGAAACTGCGGGAGGTCAATCAAAAGCCATGCAGCCATTCAGATGCACCATGGGGCTAGATTTTGATCTTCTCAATACTTCAGTGTTCAAGGATGAGCTGCACGGGACAAGTTGCGACCCATCGGGGCGGTTGCATGGGGTGGGGCCCCCGAAGTGCATGGCGGCCCTCACGGGTGCCATGCGCTCCCCACCTCGCATGCCGTGCCGCCGGTGGCGTGAGGGGACCATTTCAGGGGCGATTCGGTGTCTACCAGCTTGATGACCGGGACATTCAAGAGGTGATGGGCTACCGGACGGGGTTGAGCCTCCTCGCGGCAGGTGAGCCTCATGCTGGCCTGTACTGGCCTGAGATGTGCCATACCGCACTGATTCTGCGAAGGGCTTGTCCCGAGAGGATGCTCGTGCGCACTAGAGGGCCATGCAGGTGCCTGCCACACTCGTCCTGCAGCTCCACAATGTGCTGGGAGTTCTACTCATGTGCCAGCATGTACCTCCTCCATCCCTCCCCTTCCTGCCCTGACAGCATGTGCCTCGCAGGCATTAGCACACACTGCAGCAGATGCCCCATGGGCTGGAGTCCTGCAGGCAGGCAGCGATGTCGCTGCAGTGAGCGCCATTGGGGGACTTGCCATGTCCCTCTCCCTGATCCACATCTATGTGGCGCCCATCAAGCGAGCCCTGCAGGCCTTGGCCGCAGTGGGGGCAGTGGGGGCAGCCTGGGTGGGTTTGACCCAGGGCGGACCCCTGCTACAGACCCTGGAGTTGCACCCGATCTACCTGCTGGCGGTGGGTCCGGCCGCGGCCGCGCTCACTGGCGTCTGCTTCAAGGAGGCGCTCTGCTATGGCAAGGCCGAGGCAGCGGTGCTGATGCTGGGCATCCCCGTCCTCTGCCTCGGACACCTGACCGGCTTGCTGGCAGGGGGGCTTGAGCTGGCGGCCGCCGACATCGTGGCAATCTTCCTGGTGCTCTTTGCGGCGAGGAAGTGGACCCAGCCCGTGTCTGATGACGTCGGGGACAAGAGTGTTTTCGAGTACCTGGCCAAGCAGGGAGATGGTGCCGAGTTGTGAGCGACTTCACGATCACTTGTGAATTGTACATTATTGAGCAGAGAGCCAGGTGGCTGTTGGAGCTATGTAAAATTTGACAGAATTTCATAGAGGAAGGGTATTGTCTATATTCACTGGAGGGTCGAGCCTAAATGGCCTGTGAAGGGATCAAGGCAAAAGCCCACATCGAGAGTTGGGGCGCAATCTGACAGGCATCACTCGTCACAAACACTCAACGCATGCAATTACCATAATAACGACTTGTATATCTGTGAGCACTGGATTTGACTGAGGTGCGCGTGTGCGGGCTTCAAAAGAGCGACCATCACCCACAAGCGGCACAAGCTTGGGACCCCGATCTACTCGTGCTTACAGACACCTCCCCTAGATCTGTAAAAATGGCGGAGCAATGGCATCTGCGCGCGCCAGTACCTAGCAACCCCATCGTGTTCTTCGGTGAGGAGAGGTGAGGTCGCTGTGCAGCCCAACAAACACCACTGTGCCCCAGCCAAGCCCACCTTGTCACCACTCATGCTCACGCAGATGTTAGCATTGGTGGCCAGCCTGCCGGTAGGATAAAGATGGAGCTTTTTGCGGACATTGTACCTCGCACAGCCGAGAACTTCAGGCAATTCTGCACTGGAGAGTTCAGGTGGGGCCAGAGCTCATGGGGGGTGAATCAAGCTAGGTCCCTCAGGCTGCGCCGACATCCACGCGTGCCAACGACTCTCTCGCTCCCAAATTGGACAGGAAACAAGGGCTCCCCGTCGGATACAAGGACAGCATCTTTCACAGGGTACCGGATGGCGAATGCTTTGCGGCTGCATCAATGGGTTGCTCCATGCATTCGCCTGTGCAGCCGACCCTTACTACGCCAAACCCCTCCAACCCCTTCGGCATGCACCCAGATCATCAAGGGCTTCATGCTCCAGGGCGGCGACTTCCTCAAGGGCGACGGCACCGGTTCCCTCAGCATCTACGGCAGCCGCTTCGAGGACGAGAACTTCACGGGGCGACACATGGGTCCTGGCCTGCTCTCCATGGCCAACTCTGGGCCAGGGACCAATGGCAGCCAGTTCTTCATCACCGTCGCCAAGACAGGTGGGGGGCCTGGCAGGGCAGGGGAGGCTCGGCTGGCAATCAGACCAGATCAGCCACCATTGCCTGCGGCGGCGTGCGCCCTGACTGTCCGGGGACCCGCTCTCTCAAACCAAGCCGACTCCTTGCAGAGTGGCTGGACGACAAGCACGTCGTATTTGGGCGGGTGCTGGCGGAGAGCATGCTGACTGTGCGCAAGCTGGAGGCGGTGCAGACCGCGGGGCAGAACAACAAGCCCAAGTTGGCGTGCGTGATCACAGAGTGTGGTGAGATGTAGGGCAGGACAAGATGCAGGGCCAGGGGCAGGGGTGCCGGTCTCGGTGAGAGGCATCTGAGAGGTCACGTCGCCGGACAGGACCGGGCAGGAGATGCTTTGAGCCAAGCGCAGCCCAGGGCTCGAGGACGCAGAGACTGGCCTCAGCATGACCACTCCAAGGCAGCAGTGCGCGAGAGCCCCTTGCGCAGGCACCCATGTCTGCACGGCGAGCGGCTTGGGGCCTTGGGTGGGCGGCAGGCAGGCGCACTTTCACGGTACGCTCACCAAAATCAGATCACACCGCCATTTCCATGGCGATCTTCTTGTGTGGCTCGTAGTCTGCCAGCTCAAAGTCGGCCATGGTGAAGGCATCGATGTCGGTCACCTCGGGGTTTATCTTCAGCGTCTGCAGCGATGAGCGGGTTCAGAGGGTGAAACAATGGGCCCATGGGGTCTGGAAGACGCAGGAGGGCGTCGCGCAGTGAGTGTCACCAGCAACGGCTCACATCGCTCCTGACAGCCCCATCGCCTCCACATGGGCACACATCAGTCCCCAGCCACGCCCACCGGGAAGTGCTTGGGGCTGCGCAGCAGCTGCTCCCGCAGCGGCTCCACATGGTTGCAGTACACGTGCGCGTCACCCAGCACGTGCACAAAGTCGCCTCGCTGCAGCCCACACACCTACGTGGATGGGGGGGTGTTGGACGATGGCAGGCAAGTGCAGCGCTTGGGCCGGACAGGGAATCCTGGGCGGGGCCGGAACCATGCATGGTGAGGGGACCGTGCGAGGGCTCTCCCCTGATTTCAACCCCTGCATCCCTTTCCCTTGCTTCGCTCCCTCATCCAAAGGCGGGAGAGTCCACCTGCGCCAGCATGCAGGTGAGGAGGGCGTAGGATGCGATGTTGAAGGGCACCCCCAGGCCGAGGTCGGCGGAGCGCTGGTACATCTGGCACGACAGCTCGCCGTCTGCCACGAAGAACTGCGTGGATGGGGGGAAGGGGGG